TTAGGGCAGCTCGTGTTGTCGGTCGGACGTGTTTCGCACCACCTATCCACGTCGCCCATTCGTCAGGCGTGGTGTGCGTGCGTGTGTGTGTGCGTGTGTGTTCCTTTTGTAAGCGTATTAAGGGAGATTGATCGCCTCGTGTTGTGATGTGCAGTCTGCGGATCTGGATTAGCAGGGGCATAAACACACGGGGAGTGCACTAGGACACCGGCGCCTGCAGCGCTGCAGGGTGGTGGTAGTGGCCGTGGTCGTGGTGGTAGGGGTGGTTGCAGGGGTGGTGGTGACCTTGATCCCAGAGCATCGTATCTTCAAAATAGGTATAAAGAAATTGTCGTTTCAATTCAAACAGCTTTCTTAAATGCAGAAAAGTGCTTTTCTGGAATTAGCAAAAATATCGTTGAGTCAAAAATGTTTTCCGTTTGGATCAAAGCAGAATGTTTTATTGACGAAAAGATTTCGTCGTACCTATGTTGATGAAATGTTGCTTTGATTCAACAAAGCCTCATTTGATTCAAGAACGATTCTCCGACGATTCTCTGGGTGCTAGGCGAGGAATCTGCTCACACCCCTGCCCCCTGCCCAGGGAGGACGTGGCCCCATACCCGGCCTCAGATGCCCCCGGTCTGGCGCTATTCCGTCGAAACTCTGCCGCGGCCGCTGCGTCTGCATAAATTTCTCATGGTCGCACTGCATGCTGCTGACGGTGGGATGTGAAAGGCAATGGAAATAACAAAAGGCGGTGAAGCCATTTGTCACGGAAGTACCGCGGGCCGGCGGGCGGTACATGTGTGATGCATGGCCTGGGCCCGGCCGCCCAGCCCCGCGCGCAGTGCAGGGACCAGGACCACAAGGGTAGGGCCAGACCAGGATCACCGCCATCTTCAAACTCAAAATGTAACAGCCGGCTGTATGTGAGTATGTGAGCAGACGGGACTCGGAAGAATCATATCTAAAAATGAAAAAAATAAAAATAAATCAAAATCGGATTCCAGTTAGATCAGGATTTTTCCTGAAAAATTAAAATAGAAGTGTGTCTATCGGAATGGAGGAGTTATTGGCGTTTTGCATTCGACATTTTGATGTTACCAGTTTCAAAGTTTGGTCTTAGTTTTGTCTGTGTTATTCTTCGTTCTCAGTACCCAATAAATGCGGTTATTACATCCAGGAAATCGTTTCCTTGAAACAGGGCAAAATTGCCTTTCGTCAAAGAAATTGAATGTAATGAACAATATTAGAACAAACAAATATCATTCCGAGTAAGTCTCGCTGGCGTGTGCACCTCAGTCTGTTTTCATCTCAGATTCCTCTTTCTCCTTAGCCCCCTTCCGGCTGCGGCTAGCCAGTGACTCCGGGGGTCGGGGCCGCCCGCGTTCTCTCGAGGGGAAGCGTGACAGCGGAAGGTCGTCTCACCGAAAGTCCGGGTCCGCGGTGGGAAGGGTCGGGGAGGGTCGGGGCGGGCTGTGGGGTGGACCTAGTTTGCTTGGTGTCCTGTGTCCTGTCCGTCTGGAGGGACGAGCGGACCGCGAGGGCCCCGGAGGGCCGGAGGGTCGGAGGGCGGGGTGTTAATAAAAAGGGGGAGGCTGCGTTACGTAATTCCTGCCCGGCCCGATGGCCGCTGCATAAAGTTGTACACCGCCGCCCGCCTTTATCAAGCCATAAATCGCGTGCCTTGATGAAACTCGGTGCGGGCGCCTGACCCACGCAAGCTCGGCTCTTCATTTTTACGGAAAACCAGATGAGCTGCTGGTGCGCCGGCCGGCCGGCCGCTGATGGCTGGTCAGAAATAAGCCGAGTAAGTACGGGCTGGTTAAATACGTGGGCGGGGGTGGATGTGGACGTCTGTGGCTGCTCACAACCCAAATCTCTCACCTCCCTTTCGGGACGGATCATGCAACTTGGGGGATATTACTATTTAAACAAAGGCACCCTTCTAGGACCGTTCTTTAGGAATTCCCTCAGTTTATAAAGACTTTACGCTTACTGAAAGACT